ACACAGCAAACACATCAAACCACTTGCGGATCATTGAAATTCAACTTTTTAAAAACAGAGCATGATGTCAGTGTTAAATTACTACGAGAACATAAAACGTGGTGAAAATCCACAGATCAAGCAAAACCAAAAGATTGTATTTTGCTTTTTTTGCAGTACATATGACTCGCAATGTTACTTCAAGCACAGAAAAAGGTTTATATGGTTTGCGTACAGATATGTGATATCCACCAACTCACCAAATCTTGGTGTCGCAATGAGGCATTCCAATTCCTTTCGAAACTGTGCAGCCGAGCTCCTCAGAACGCCATTCCGAGTGCCATCGTCGACGAAAATGAAATGCGAATGGTTTTTGTCCAGGGAAACAGGAGGTCGGTAGCTAATCTCACGACTTATCGGATATTTCGATTGGTGAGGTTTCGTGGTCTGTAAATGTTGTTACACAACAATGCTTCACATACTGTACTTCGGATGAGTCTTTCGCGATTCAGCACATGGCCCCATGGTGTAACGCCGATGCATCGAAAACGATCTGACATTTTGCCTTTACTGAAATAATAGCGATCTGCCTTCTCGGTGGCGTCACTCACGACCGACACAACACCCCAGTCAAGACCATCCGTCAGTATCCAAGCGTTCGACGCCTGAGCAGCTCCAATGAGACCCTTCACTTTCTACATTAAACAACTAACATACTTCGCAAAACGCAGCTTTCTGTAATCCCTCTAGTGTAAACGACGCAGGTCCACCTATGACTGATATACAAAGTAATGGCGGATTTTCTCCCAATAGTTTCCAGTGTTTATCCATGAGCTCAATCACATTGAGAGGATCATCTTCGTCTGACAGCCGCACAAACTACAGCACTGCAAAGTGGCATTGCGCAAAAGTTACCTCAGCTGATCGTCGCAGATTTTGTGCACCAGAGAAGAACTTTACGACACCGTATGCGTTTGATGGTCCGACCGTTTTAATACAAGCGGGGCTCCACACAGTTTGCGAACTTTTCTCATTTGGATTGAAATGATTCTCAAGTAGTTCTCCACAACCACAGCGCCTATGTATAGATATTAGTTAATGAGAACATACAATTCCGGACTCCCGGCAGTGCTATCTCCGACAAATTGCGTGCACTCTTTACAAGTGAAACATCGCCGAATGAAATTCTCTTTTGTCTAACAAATAACACATTCAAATTCCACAAACCTGAAGGTTATACTCAGCGGTTGAATTTATTGATCTCATTCTTGTAGACATTTTAAGTGAAACTGTGGTGCGCACGAACCAAACACTTCTTTTCTCACTTATATCACCGCGTCATGTGTAATCGACCTTGAAACGCATTCAAAGCGTCGGCTGCCAATATTTATTTTACTCGTGTTGTTGATCACATTTATGCACTGATAAAGTGTGCTTTTGCCTTTTGCTTGACATTTGCTGCACATATGCATGAACTACAGATGGATTTTACAAGAAGTGAATTGTTCATCAGATTGGTTAAAGCGAACGGATGGAAAACCATTTGTTAAATTCCGTTCTCAAAATAGTTTTAGCGAAATTCATGAGTGTAGGAGATTCTCAATGGTTAAGTAATTTTTGTGTGTGGGTGACAAATGGAGCATTGCGCAAGAAATAACCAAAATAAATGCACATTCTAATAGATTCGAGTCTGTATCGTGAATCCGATCAGGACATTCAGCTAACTCTCATTACAAAAAACCGCATTTATTTTGCTCATGTTTTTGATTACCTATATGCACTGACAAAGTATGCTTTTAACTTGTTCTTGATATTTACTGTACTAATGCGGCAACTACGGCTCGATTTTACCAGAAGTGAATTGTTCGTCATATTTGTTGAAGCAGGGCTAGATTTAATTCTGTGAAACCGAACAACACAGCGGATTGTGTACATTTATGCCGGTCGCCAGACATTGAATAGGGTTGGTTTATCTTGAAACTTTAGTGTATCTCTTGTCCCCACATTAAAAATTCATTCTAACCTCGATGAATTTGTGAATGTTTTGGGTATTATGTGGCTCGAGTCTACTGCCAAAGAATTTGCAAGCTCTAATGCATGCATCGCACAACCTAGCCTCCTTTTTAGTAAAAAGTTAACCGTAGAATATAACGGTTATTCTCTTTGCACATTTTTGGGATTTCTAGCTTTCCTCAAGGTTAAATCTTCATTGCCTCCTGAGTGCAATGGATGTTTGTAAAAATCAAATAATCAAGACTTTACTGGGAATTTCATGAACTATTTGAAAATTAATTGAATAATAATTTGTTGTCAATATAAACAGAATGAAAGTTTTGCATTGGTAAGATGTTTCCCGTTTACATTGATTTGAAGCATCCACTTTTTGCTGATAAAACATCAAAAGATATGTGAACATCACTTTATGGTCGAATTTTTAGGCTGCGACACACACACATTACTGGATAGTTTATTAATCATAGAACAACAGAATAATGCGATTAAAGACACTTATTAATGCATGATTCTGTAATGTAATGTAATACTGGCCAATGTAATGTAGTACGTCATGGTGAGATCGTCTGTTGTCACGTTAAATGCAATACATCAATGATCTGTGCCTGTCTGCTCAGTTGGCCTTTGCACAACAGATATAATAGAGAGCCAAAAATGAATGATTTCATTGGTTAAAGTCACATGTGTGCCATCACACAAATTCTATCTCAATAAAGGATCAAGGCGTGGATAATCTTGCACTCGATATCCACGCAGCACACTGCACTTTCATTTGCTTATTAATCACTACCACCTTACTGCGTTTGTATGAATTTTGACTAAAGGGATAATTTAAATGTGTTAAATTGACCTGATGGTCTTGCATGTGTTTCTTCCACACCTAACTACGACCTGCATATACTTGACATTTCTTTAAGACCAATTGAACCAGTTTTTATAAATCTGCATTATATTTTAATTTGTCCTGACAGTCAGCGTTCGATATAATATACGCATATTTGATCCCCACGTCTTCATTAATTTTTTCACAATGTTTAAAAGTACTAAAAGCCAGTTATTTGCTCGATTGTAGCACATAGGTTAAACTAAGTGGTCTGTTGTTCATTTTACATTTAAGCGCAAAATGAAATTATTAAATAAATGTTGTAACCAAACTTAGATTAAAACAATGTTAACAATGTCTAATGAACTATTAAGTATTCTACGTACAGTCAATTAATGTGTTTTGAGTGATTTCACCGATATCCGCGTGAATTAATCAGCATGGGTTTTTTTTGTTTCTTTTTAACCGTGTATACTATTAAATCTTTCTAACTTAGGTCTGAAAAAATGGGCCTAGCGCGAAGTTGCAGAGCACATTTTTTGCATTTTCGCTTTTTTATTTGCATTCTTAATTCAAACTTATTCTAGTTCAAGCCGTGTTTTGCATTTTTTTATTCAAGTTTCCAAATTCGATTTATTTGTATCTGATTCAAATGTTATAGAAAAATTTTATTATTGATTTACTACATTGCTATTAAATATAAAGAGAATAGTTATCTAAATCCATGTCATGCCATGCCCTTTCCCGCCCTAAGCATTTACTTCATAAATTTGCAATCACAACTTTTTTTCTCTACTCTGTATCAGTTTTTTTGAATCGTCTTTGTCATCAAATTCCATTCTTATGACTTTGTAGCTTAAGTTTCATATCTTTTATTCGTTTATTTAACCAGCAGTTCAAATTAATCATCAACTCCGATTCCCTTTTAAAAAGTACCTTTCCAATTGTCTTGTGAAATTTACCTTTTTAGAAGGTACTGAATTTTTAGGTAAAGCCGCCTGGGTTTTTTAATCATCAGTCATTTTCGACCTTTTAAGTAGTCAATGAGTACCTCCAGTCCTCCGGATACTTCACTTGAGGACCAGGTTCAGGCCAGTGAATGCGGTCCTCCTCAACAGAATTACTTTGGTTGGTTGAAATCAACATTTTCTCAGCCAACAGAAGTATGTGTTGCTTTTTATTGATAGAGAGAATGAACTCGTGGTTTTTGAAATTTGCATTCATTTTCATTCCGTTCGAGGTGTGGGATCAAATTAAACAGGATATTACAGAGGTGGCTCAAGCAGTAGCATCAAGTGATCCAATTGCCGCTGCGAAAGGCACCGCAAGTTCAGTCTATCGCCAGTTTTCTGATGCTGTTCACAGCCTTCAGCAAGGCGCTAAATCGGATCCTCCACCACCTGAAAACGAAACGGCCCGAGGTACTTGACTTCTATGGTGAATGTTAAAGGTTCATCTCATTATTATTGTTATTGATTTTGGACAAAGATGAAGTTTGATAAAGACAAGTTAATTCACTTATCTGGCAACTATTCGAAAGGGAACGTCGCGATCATATCCACTGTGGTTTGTATAGCAGTGGAATCGGGATTTCGTGTTAGTGTGTGCTGACACTTCCGCATAGTGCACGATCGGAATTGGTAAATGAAGCCAGACCTCTCTACTTTTCTATTTCTTCCCACATTGATGCTTCCATAAGGCTGTTTTCCAACAACATTCGACTCTATTTTAGGCGGACGGATCCTGTTTTAATTTTGGCAATTCTATTTATTTGCAATTAGCATCCATAAGCCAGACTTGTTTAGTGCTTCGAGGTCACCAATTTGAAAAACTTTTAATGGGAAAGATGAGAATCAACAAGGCTGTTGGCAGCCATAAAATTCAAGTAAAATTTGGGCAGAAATGTTTGGTAAATTGACCTCATCGTTCTCCGCTATCCTTTAGAGTCGGTTGTGATCTGACGATGTTGGATTTAAGCAGAAATTTTGGTTAGGGACGGATTCTCTTTAAAGTGCATCCTGTTAGTGCTTGTTTGTTACCGTCATTAGGTCGTAAATCGTTTGTCTCCCCAAATTGTAACATTTGACAACGATTAGTGCGGAACACGACTTGCTTAATTTCCACATGCCTACCTCCTAAATAACAGTACCTTGCAGTGTTCACTGTCGGTCGAGGTGCTTAACGCTTAAGCAGAAACGTTTCACTCGAAAACCGGGAATTTTATCGAGCGCAGTACCATACTTAAAAGGTTGTTTATTAATACGCCTTCACCGGTGCACCCTTTTAGAATTTCACTCTTTGAATCGTATGTAATAACTCATGGTGAGATAATTTAGGCCTGAAACGCCTCGGATTTTATTGCTATATCTTTTTTGCGTGCATTTGCGTGATATAAAGCCTTGACTTGTTCAAAGTCGTGTTCCTATAAATATGTTTGTGTCGGTCATTACTCGCGCGTTTATTTAATGAATGGGCGGATTCCAGACAGTGGTTTGTGAATGCGCTATCGCGATAAGACAATAGTTAGTGAATTAAAACCAGATATGTCTGCTTGCTTGCACGCGCTCTAAACTCTGATACCTTTACTCTCTTTGACATATTTCTCCATTTTTCCTGTGGGAACCCTGATTCGTGTTCCATTTGACATGACTGGAACAGCTTTGAAGTTAGGAGATGATCGACAGGAACTAGTCTTGACTTGAGGGTTTGGGGCCTCATTGTTGCCCAATATGTGTTTCCACCGATAACCATCAACCACCACTTCAGATTCACCCTCTGAGTCAGGGATTTCAGGTGTGAGGTTGAATTGAGTGTTTACATCCGGGTTACCATTTGTCTGTTTGTTGATACATGGTCATCATTAATAATAAGTTGCTGACGAAAACTAACATATGCTCAGACGTGTGCACACGAACTAAACGGATGCTGAATGCACAAACAGATTGTAGCGCATTCTTTAGCTCATATTTTCCTCTGGATTCCAGACACCACGGGGGCAGGCGACGTCAATCTCGAGTCGCCGATGTCATCGGTTAAGTCGTCATTCTACGAAATTGTCGATGCACTCGAAAAGGGCCTCACCGAACTCACCGGCGCCTCGTTCAGTTTCGGTCTCAAAGCCAACAACGCTGCTAGTGGTGGCGGTGGATCGGGTGGCAACCGTGATGTGAGTTGTGAAGCCTTGTTTAAACTATAGCCACTTCCGTCTACTCTAGGTAATTTGGTGCACTGTCGGGCCTTGCGCCTCGCTCCTGCCTAGGGCCGCCCGGTGGTGCTTTTCATGTGTGTTCAACAATAATTGTTTACTGATCACCTATTTTGCAGCGCGAATTCTGAAGTAAGGTAATAGTTTTGTTCCAGGCAGTCGTCATTGTCATGAAGCAATTTCTCAAACTTCAAAATTTACGGGCAATCTAATTGCCTGGGTCTTGGTTACAATTTACGCCTTACCAAATGTGTGTGGGGTTTTCCTTTGCCGTGGTAAAACACTATTTTTTACCTGATTCCTGAGATGTTGGCTGTGAATTCAGATTGTTTGCTTGCTTTGAAGTAATTCAGAACACAACTCCCCTCTTATCTCGTCTAATTGCGCTTCGCCTTTCGATGCGGTTAATCGCACTTTCAATTGATGCTATTATCGGCAATCCAATGACGATTCATTTTAAAGTAGACACGGGTTCATGACTTTTTAGCACAATTGGACTTTGAAAGACATCGGTTTGGTGTAGATGGGAAAACAATCACAGATTTAACCTCAGATTTCCCTAATCACTAGCTCTTAAGTCAGTTTGTGTCAGAATTTCGCATTTGTGGGCTAGAATTTTGTAGCCTTTCTTACGCCGATCCAAGCACTGAGCGAGAACAACTTCTCGGTAGTAGTACAGGGGTGTCTGCCGAAACCCAATCTGCGGCAAAACTTAATTACTGGGTATTCACAAAAACACGTTAACTTCTGTTGGACGGCATGAACGCAGTCTTCAAACATGTGATATGCACGACTTCTCTTGTCATTGTGGTTTGCTTGTTTGTACTCAAATTTAACCAATGAATTTCGAACGCTATCAGCCATCTAGACTAGGGCATAGTCTCCTTCAGCGAATGGGATTCGTCAACTGGAATTATTTATAGGGGCGCTTGGCAATGTAAAGTGCCGTAAATATTTGCGACAACTGGTCTGAATGGATGCAAGTTGATGGCGAGACTAGTTCTGTATGAAGCTCATTAATTTTGACACAGTTTTGGCCGTTGATTTTTGCATGTTTTCAATTCGCCCACATGTTTATTCTAGCATTTATAAACCGCAGCACAAATTTCAATTCCGCCTATTGTTGACGCCGATTTTTCCCCACAAAATCAAGTTTCGACTTGGTTTCCTGTACATTGTGCGACGCTACACGGCAACATCCGCACACAACTCACTTTCCCAAGACGATATACAGTCCGCAAAGCGCTGAAGGCAATAATGTCCGCCTCCGTAACGGTCAAATTTGTCTGATCAATGTCCTTAAAGACGTTAGTCGAGGTCGCGTCAACTGGGCGTTCGTTGTTCGTCCACGTATGCTTATGAGTTAAATGCTAACCCAAAATTCATCCAAACTTTTGAACACTCGCATGGCTCTTTTGTGTCCAAGGTTTGTAAAGCGTTCGTTTTACTGGATTCTCGGACACAATTGCGCTCCTGAATAAAAATTGCTGATTTGGGGCTCTAAAACAGCAATTGCGTCGTTTTCTGGTCTTTTTTGGTTGTAGACTACGCTTGAAGTCTTCTCACATCAACCCGGTTAATCGTTTTAAAAAAAATTTATGACACATTTATCGGCTGCGCCGTTGACCGAAATTACTCTTTTTATGGCGGTCCTGTTCAGCTGTATCACTGCCTGGTTAACCATTAGGGCATGTAATTGCGAGCACTATATGACCAGCAATACGAGGGATTTTATGTTCCTGACGAACTGGAATGATGTGATGGGTTAATTTTAATCCCCTGGCTCAATATCTAGGTAGTCCTTGGTGCTTTCAATTGGGTTGTTTCGTGCTGCAATCGATTTGCCCAATCAAAATGTGCTTGAATCTTTTCAATCAGCTGCAACCAATAACTCCAATCGAAGTGACGTTCTTATTCAAAGTTGCGATTAAGATCTAGTGTTGTTTAATGGAAATCTGCAGAGATCAACACGTATTTGTCCTTGTTCAATATCGCGGTGCCATTGGTCGACACCGAGTTGAAATTGATCAACACAGCGATCTTAGTGGTCGAAACCTAGTAGGGATTGATCAGCACGGAGAAATGATTGGTCGAAACCTCGGCTTCCTCGTCTGCCCAACTGATTGGCTGTAAAACACCGTGTTGTAAGTTGTAAGCATAAAATCACTATCTAGCAAACTTGTCAGATTTTATCGTAGCGCAAAGTTGCAAACCGCCGCGCTTCCGGCCCTTCATGCTGAGCACACGCATTGTTTCTGCCTTTGCGAGAATATCACTGCCGGAGTCGTCGGTCATGTGCACCTTAATGAGGACTGTTATTGCTTTCCTCGGGTTAGTCATGCTCAGTAATTTCGTGTGATTCGATTTTCACTAATCATGTGCACCTCACGTTAGTTACTATGATACGTACCTAAAGTTCATGTGTAAAAGTAAACGCGTGTCAATCTTATCCCCAGCATCGCCTTGCGTTTTCATCGCGTTCCCTAGTTCGATAATGCAAGTACACCTCGAATGCCAGCGGTATCCAGTGTTTCCGTCTTTGTGTTTTGCCTTTGTGACATTCACAGAGCACTTTGGGATAGAAAGCTACGGTATTTACTCACGCCTGTTCGTCGTAATTCAGAATTTTACCTTGCAAAACACTGATTGAATCCCAATTGCGTGTGTGCGTGTGTGTGCAAGTTGAGAAACCTCTGCATTCAGTGACGACACATTCGCCTCCTACGTAGTTTTGAGCCTTCAAAAGTTACAACACGTGACCTGCTCAGTGAAGTTGGCGTGATTTGTTGCCAAACGCGGATGCCTCTTTTGCGAAAGAGACCTCGGTGATTCGGTCACTGCAGGGACATCTTCGAATTGCTCAAACTGTGTCGCTTTTCGGCCACAGTGTTTGCAATAACGATAACCATATTTTGTTGTCTTGTTAAAGGCGTTGTTAACAACATAGCTCGTGTCTCGAGAAACAATGAAAAAGCCTAATTACCTTACTCAGTCACTGACAATGCAGCCCTCGTCCGAGTGAACACGCAAAGTGCTATATTTGTAGTGAGAGTTTATACGGGGAGTTAAAGTTTTCAGAACTGGTGGAGCAGAGGATTGCACTTTTCGAATTGCGTAGACCCTTTCAACGACCCTGCGGTCCGGTCTGCTGGATGGACTGCGGGCGCCCGAGTCCAAGTCTACTACTTGCGTGAATCAACGTCCTGAAGCACTCACGCCCGTGGTCACTGGGCGTTTCGTAGAGCGGATTTTAGCGTGCTGACAAGCCCTTCATTGTTGTAGTCGACTCGGCGCAGCCTACACGCTTAAATGCATGCGCCTCTTTCGTGACCTTGACTCGATTTAAGGCCACTAGACAGGATCCCTTCTTCATCGAATGCACTTTTGCAACCTGAAACGGCTCAAATTTATGGTTTTAATCTCTGTAATTTTTGTTTTAATAAATCTGGTCGTTTGACGCCATCTAAGTAGTGACAGCCGCGATTATCTCGGTTTGAAAAACACCCTTGAAAGAAGGCATTCTTTTGTCGTTCACTCAGTAAACAAACGAACTCAATGTGCTTCTTTGATAGATTAATCGAGGGCAAAGTTGCCCTCTTGTGCACTTACTTGTTTTACACTTACTTTTAATCACCCTCTGGGTGAAAAAAAACAGCAAACGCTGCTGGCATTTGGAAAACTTTCAAGTTTCATTCAGTAGTCTTTGCTTTTGCTCACTTGCCAACTAAATCTTCAAAAACCACACGTTCAACTGAAGTGAGATTCGAGCGACGTCATTCTAGACAACAGTTGCCACTATGTAATTCCAGCATTAAATACTACTTTTTGCTAACGCACACCAGTGTCAGCAAACGCAATTATAATCTGAGATTTTATCTTAACCTAGTGGTCTCTTGTGGTCGCGCTAAAGTAGTGTGTTTATTCTGGTTGCGAAAGGCAACTTAAAGGAGAATCAGTATCCACCCCCAGCACGACATGCCGTTCCGTAAAATCAGTAAAATCAATCTAATCCAATCCAGGATTTCGCGTCGCTGTAAATAATTTATTGGGCGGTTGCCTACTAACGCCTACTACATGCCTTGATCGCTTTGAATAATTTACCACAAGTCTGGCCAATTGTCGTTGTATCTAATTAACGTCTTACTTCCCGCAAGTCTCAACTATCTTTGGCTAGCCCACTAAATTGGCCTTCGGCGTTTTCGCATAACTTTGCCAATTTTCGTCTGACCTTGTTACTTGGCATGGGATTGCCTTGTTTACGACCGCGGTCAAATTCGCACACGAAAGTAAAATCGATTTAAACAGATTTTAGGGTGCAATGTCCTTGCTACTTTAAGGCTCGCATTGATGTGATTCGAGCAGATCCAGCAACTTTTGAGAGTTCACCGTCACCGCAGAAGGACATTCTGCCCTACGAGGAGTGGCGGAAGGCCTACTTCAACGACCAGACCTGCTCTCCTCACCCGGACACACCAATTTTTGAGGGGTCGACCCTGCCCACCGGCGACGCCCCCTCCGCCACCTACCCTCCCCCCTCGCGGGTGCTTGAGGAGAGCCCTGTTGTGCGCAGGCACCTCCTGCGTCTGGTCGATCCTGACGGTGGAAGCGGGAGCCTCAGCGAGACCGATTTTTGGTCAAGGTACTACTACAGAGTCTGGTGTCTCGATGTCCTGCAACTCCGGAGCACTCGACTCGTTAATAAGCTGGAAAAGGACCATGTTGACAATGCGGCTGACGATGCGTCAATGGGGACGTGGCCTGGTGCGTTTTTAACTCTTGCTCGGTGGTCTTTTGTGCTGACATTCCTTTATTCTTTTGTGCTTTTTATCTACAGAACTAGTCGATGATAATGACGAAAACGATGACGATGAGATCAAGAGTGATCGAAATGAAGATGTTCTTAAAGCATCAACTGTGTCAATCAGTTCGGTAAGCTTCACCAGCGGCCATATGTTTAGCGTTGTCGACGAAAACTTGCTAAGTTGTGTTGGGCATTTTCTAAACGATCGTCACAACATACACAACGCTCTGTGGTGCCACTGATCAGACTTTAAGCGGTTTTCGAGAATATTTTGCCAGGTCTTCACGAATAACACGTATTTTGAGTATCTTGGGTACGTGTTTCATCTAGAAAGTCTAATTTTGCCTGGCTTATCCGTTCTAGTTTACCTCAATATCGTTTTTATCTCGATTTAGGAAACATCCCCTTGCGACACCCAGCCAGCAGAGGGTTCTAATGCTGGTTACTTTAGTCCAGCTAGTAGCATTATCATTGTTAACAGGGAAGAAGTGACTGGGGACGAGGCGGAAGCAGGGCAGCCCCAATCGGAAGCCGCCGCGGGTAAATTTTCTCCGAATTGCTGTTATTGGATTGAAAAGTGCATTTTCTAATAACAACTCATGCGAATTTTGTACACAACACAAACTGTGATGATGTGCTATAATTTAAGTGTTTATTTCTACTTTAATGAAGGAGATGAATGGCGCGAGGATGTTGTTGACCCTGATGACGATGAAGTGGGTGAGGACGACGAAAGGGTTCAAGTAACATTAGAGGGTCTTAAGGAGACCAAATTGAAAACCACTAGTGATAATTCAGACTCGGTAAGCCATGCCTTGCAGTATATGAAAATCATTTTTTTCTATCTAGCTTTTAATTAAGGGGAAACTGTTTGAGATTTTCTACCTCGTTACCCAAATAATTCAGTTCTGCTAACTTTGTACTCGCCCAAACCTACTTCGCTCTTCACAGTGACAATGGATTCCAAAATGTCTTGTTTTCCTTTGTTTCAGGGAAGTGAGTGGGAGAAATGGGCCTAACTCAAAAGCACATATTTGTGTCTTACGTTTGATTCCTGTTACAATAGCCTTCATCCCTCAGAATAAAGACATGCGACATCCAGTCTTTCTTCGTCATTTCACTTATTTCACACACCCCATTGGTTCTTTAAGCCATTTACCAATTGTCCCTTGCTGCACCAGTTTTAAATTTATTTATTTACCGATTCTTTTCTATATTGCTATTTAATAAATTTCGTGATGTTGTCTGTAAAATGCCTCCATATTTTTTTCTTTAAGTAAAAGTAAACCTCATTAGAATTTTTAGCAATCGAATAACCGTAATGCTAATGTGCCCGTTCTAGTAATTCGAGAGGAAGTACATTAGTTGGTGTAATATCAAAAAAGGCCTTTTAGAAACAATATAAACATGCTATACAGAAGTAGAGAAGAGTGGAGTTTTAGATTCTTCGTGGTGTTGCAAAAATCTGAGGAACAGAAACATTGCTCCATGACGGAGCTACTGCCATAATAGTAAATACATTGATCAGGAAAGTTAGGTGGAAATCGAACAACGCAGTACCTTGTGGTTGTTTTCAAAACAGTTTCTTCTTGACCCCATCGAGGTTTCCTAAAGTCGCTTTTCTGCACTTCAGTTTGTTTTATACACGCCGTACAGTTCGTCAGTGTTTTCCACGGGCCAGCACTCTGATCGCATGGCCAAAGAGAATTATCATACTGCCAATTTATGTATTCACACTCGTAGCATGTTAAATTTGCACCAGTAAACGCAACTAATAGCCAAATTAGGGCAAGCATCCCAACTTCATTAATAAAAGCTGGCGAGGGCTTTTCCGGTTAGGTGCGCAATGACCTTAAAGAGGGATAAATAATTAATTGTGCATTCAAACAACACTTTTCTCAACTGTAGTTATACGCCTGTATAATTTCATCAAATTGAAAATTAGTCCCATCTATGTATATTTCATTCAGAATGCTACAGCAGAAAGCATAGTTCTACGGAACCGTGCAGCGATTTCTCTTTTATGGTATCTTATGTGTGATGATGGCAAAACATTAAAGCGACAAATATGTCTCATATTTCACTAACATTGCGATTAATGCCCTACAAATGTTGTATCTGTAGGTTATTTTTGTTTTTATAAATGTCAGATGTATAAGGAATTTGTAGTTATGCAATCAATTTTGCTAAACATAAACTAATTAAAATGCTTATATTCACCGCTAACTGCAACAGACATTCAGTTGTTTTGCTTCTTTAATGTCAAAATCTCAGGTTTAGCCGAGTGCATGCTGTTCATTATTTGAAATTCTGATATTAGGAATTTTAAATGTTATTTTAAACCAGATATATTAAATGGTCAACAATAGAGCCCATTTAACTGGATAATTGAAAATGTTGTTAGAGAGGGTGTATATGCATGATTTATATCTGGTAAGTATTTACGTGTACTTACGTTAAGAGCGTAATATTAACTATTTGTAAATGAATATTTTCGAAAACCACAAAAGCTCTATTTTATTTGCTTATTTTCACTACGCCGGATTTTGCGGCGCAATCACTTCAGTGCTTACTGTATCGTTTTCTGCAAAATAAACCTGAGAATTTCAATTGGCATCGATTCCTATTTATAAAACCTGATATATTAAATAAAAATATAAACATGGTTTGCAAAAACGCGTTGGGATTTTATTCACCATGTAATGACAATATCTTTACATATCCAAAACCATTGTAGCTGTAGGTTAGTTTGAATACCAAAAGCAAGTCATGTGACCTAAAGAAAAGATAATACCTATCAAGGTAATTAACGCAAACACTTAGTTTATCATACTGCGTATTTCGCAGATGCAGCCTTAGTCACAATCACACTGCCCCTGTTAACACTTTTAAAATTTTTGAAGCGTAAATATTTTGCATTTTCTGTGATTGCAACGTTTTACAAGAATAGGGGACAAGCGGAAATTTCTAAAAAGGAATTTTTGCATTGAGATCAGTCTTTTGTGAGCCCAAAGTAATTTCGCTGAATACATGCGTTTGTATTATAAAAACAAACAAAAAAACATATTTAAAACATTAAATCGTTTGCTAAATTGCTTATTAATTTAGACAGTAAATTTCTGCATGTTTTTTTATTATTGTCATTGAAATTGCCTAGCTGTATTTCCTTAACTTTTTTTAATTTTTTTTATATTTGTTTTCTTTATTGTTAGTGATATGGACATGTTAAAAAAATTATTTTTAGGAACTGTTTAGTGACCCGATTGAAATTATTGTTTTAATTGTCTCTAATGCTAGCCCAATTCTTCAGTATTGCACGCTGTGATGGCGCCGTCAGCTCCTGCTGCTAAGAAATCTGAGGCGAAGGTCGCAAGTCAACCCTCAGCCAAAAAAACTGTAAGTGTTTTGTTGTGCTTACTTTGGTATCTAGAAAGCGTTGGAATCAATTAATAGCCGTCTAGCTCTTGTTTTCAAGAGTGGTAAAGCGGCTATTGGGTTTCGGCATACCCTTCGCACTCTTCGTCGTGGTGGCGCCAAATTGATCATAATCGCTAGCAATACACCTCCTCTCAGGTAGGTCCTTCCTGGATTTCGGAGCACTAAGCTGAGATGAAATCCTAATGGTTTTCTTTTGAGGCGCAGTGCTTTTTCACTAATTGGCGATTACTCAACCAACAATAACCGATTTTAGGAAAGCAGAGATTGAGTACTACGCTATGCTGTCGAAAACTGGTGTTCACCACTACAATGGTACTAATCACGACCTTGGCACTGCTTGCGGTAAATACTTCCGCGTAAGTACTTTAGCCATCGAGGATCCGGGCGACTCTGACATCATTCGGTCTATGCCTAATGAGTCTTAAACTTTGTTGTTAAAATATATACTTTGGTTGTATGTTGCACTTTGTCCCATGAATGTCTATTCGCATTACTCCTACCTGGGTACTTCTCCGATCTCTTGTATAATGTTGATTCAAGTTTGTAGATGAAGTTTAACTATTCGTGAAGTACCGTGGTAATATTGCGTTTGTGGATGTTACTTAGGTCCGTTGTTGTTTTACAATGGTTATGTCGCTTAGAACTGGTGTTTTTCGTACCCGCAGTTTGCGTGGAATTTGGTTACTTTTTGTAAGGACCATGTGGGTGTTTAAGTGACTTGGAGGTATTGCTCTCATCGATTTGAGAATATCAGACATTTTTTTTGGTTGTCTGTGTATGTACTACCATTGGCTTTGCGCCTGTAAATATAACATAAGAATGTGTTGTTTGTAAGCTACATTGTCATTTATGTTTCGGTTCCGAAGATTTTCTGGACCGTGGGCCTGTTCGTTGGCGACCTTTGTGTTTATATCAATAGTTCGGTCGATTCTGTGAAGTCCCGCATAACGTCAAAATAAACTGCTGCTGGTGGATTGACAATAATCTGCCTTGGCATCTATAGTCGTAGGCTGTCGTTTCAGAGACGTTTGTCAGTGATGAAGGGTGCCGCTGCCCATTGAAAACTTTCATGTGTGTTGATATCGCCAGGGGCTTGTAAGTGAGGTATGGCCTTTCATCAATCGTCATCGGTGACATGGAGCCTTCAACAACTGTGCGTGCTTGTTATCATTGTATTGCTTTATGATTGTAGTTATCACATGTTGGTGTAATTTTGGATGGGATCTTGGGGGTAAATGCTAGACTTCTCACATTCCTCCGAAATAAGTCGTTGAGTCTTAGGTCATTGCAAGTACTTGTTACCGGAGCAGTTGTGGAGGCACTTTTCATGTGGCTACTGATTGCGCCAGCTGAAACCTGTTGATTTTACCAAACATGGTTTTTTCGGTTCTCTCCGGACCGTTATGCTTAAACATTACTCCATGGAGAGTCATGTACCATTTCTGCTAATTGACCACATTCCATTACGTGGTTTATTGAGCACCCTTTAAGGGATTTAACAACTGTTAGTTAGGTCCAGGAAATAGAAGCGTCCTTAATAAACCGTTTAATGGGTCACCAAAAGGTATCTCCAATGCGAAGCATGCAACTGAAGTTAGAATGAATGCGCAAATCAGTTGCGTCCGTTTGTGCCATGCGCAGTCGGGCTTTGGGTTAGTACTACACGTCTAGTCCTTCAAACGTGTGGGTTCCCTCAGCCGGCCAGTGATACACTTTTCCCATGGTGGCATTTCCGTGCGTATTGAGACATGGAGGTGGTCCGACCACATCCAGTGGTTAAAGCGCATGCATTTCTAGTGTGAAGCGTCTTTACCCACTGCCACTCGATTGAAGTCTGGAAAGCTCCTTATCTCGCAATTTGTGCCTCAACTATTGTCACGAGATTTGCGTTTTCTCTTTGTTCACTTACATGGTTGAAATCCTGGTGAAGCTACAGTTTTCACAAGCTCCACAGAGAAACCTCTAACCATTTACCTTTCCCGATTGATCAATGGAGCACAGATGGCTCAATTACTTTCTGAATAGCTAAGACACTAAGTTGCGACTTTTTTATCACAACTTGTCGTTTGAAGCTATACTATGAGATGCCAACGTCGACCGTGACGAGTTGAGCCTCGTGAATGCCTCTTCAAATAAAATTACCCAATGGAACTTGCTTTTCTATTGCAATGTGTCACCTAAAAAATAATAAATAATGCAAAATGCCTGTGTATTATCGAATTGCACTTTCAAGATCGGATGGACTGATATCATCTGAACGACTTCCGGAGATACTCACACACTCGAGCCTCGAACGACGTTCGCTGGCATCACGGCAAATTGACCAATCACTCTGAACTTTGATAACCACTTACATCTTCAGAACCAATACGTGAGAGGTTTACGAGCTCTCCCCTCCCCTCGGTTCATACTGCAGACCAATAAGAATGAGTCAACAAAACTCGTTAGCACTAACATCGTTACCCCCAATAATGGAGATATCCGTAAACTAAGCAAAATCATGACCGATTCTCCCCCCTCCAACGTTGTTGACGAGAAAGATCGTGAATGAAAATTTAAAAATATACATTCCATCAACTTCATAGGTAGTCAGTTGGAAGGGGCAAGGGTGACATGGGAACAGGAGGTGGAGGAACCTTCAAAAATTGTGTATATTATTCACTATTATCGCCGTTTCGTTAACCTCATCTGTCTACGGCGTTGCTGGAAACTGGCAGCGGCATTGGGGGTTGACGGGGAGGCTACATTGAAGGGATTCGGGGTGGAACCTTGGCTGAACGGCAACGCCGTTTGGCCAAAATTGAAGGCGCCATTGCTAGCAAAACTTGTTGCAGCGTTTCCGAAGTTGAATCCACCGCTGCCCGCCGCGGCATCCGTTGCGCCTGATGCCGCGCCGAAGGCGAATGGCTGGTTGCCCGCAGCCGGCGCACCACCAAACGGAGTACTCGTGGAGGTACTTCCAAAGGTTCCGGGTGTCGACTGTCCCGAAATTTTCGCCATTCCCGGGCCCGTCGAGTCAGTGCTAAAAGTCGAGCTAGCAGACCGTTTTGCGTGATCGACAGAAAACAGCGATGGCGAGCTCTTCGCTGAGGTGAGTCCGAACGCAAAACCAGACGACGACGCGGTCGTAGTGGACGCAGCGGTTGCGCCAAATTGGAAAGCACTGCCAACGGTGCTTGCAGGCTTGGGGGCAAATGGTGCGGAACTTCCAGTTGTTGTCGTTAAGGTTGCGGAAAAATTGAAGCCTCCCGATGCCGTAGAAGCTGGGAAATTAAAGAGTGTACCGCTGCTAGTGCTCACTGGGGCGGCGGTGCTACTCGCGGGAGATTGAAAAGCGAACGGACCGCCGTTCTTTACCCCAGTTGTACTTGATGTGTTTTGGAAAACGAAAGGTGAGGCAGTTGCGCCAACCGTGGTCACAGCAGCCGCGAAGACACTGCCCGAGTCCTTGAAGAGAGAGGGAGCAGAAGTCTTCGGAATGGTGAATTGAGAGGCACTTGTGGTAAAAGCGCTGCCAACACCATTTGTGACAGCATTACTTGACGCAGCAGGGAAACTGAACGAAGGGTTAACCCCAATGCTTGAGGTAGTCGAGGCAGTGGAGCTTGAGGGGAAGTTGAATAGGGAAGGAGACGCCGTAGTCACAGTAGTTGTGAAGTTAAACAACGGAGCCGTAGTTGTGGCTGTCGTTGAAGATGGTTTGGCAGAGAAGTTGAATGTTGTCGTGGCGTTGGTGGTGGTGACGGCCGGCGAACCAAATATTGACGACGTTTTCGCAGCTTGGATTGCACTTGTGGTGGCAGGAAAACCTAGGCTGGGTGTACTAGTTGTAACAGGCGCATTAAGTGACGAAGAAACTGTGGTCACTGCCGCGGAAGGCTTCAACGAGAAATTAAACATTGAACTTGGTGCAGCAGCGGTAGTAGTGGACGGGAAAGTAAAGCCTGTCTGAGCTGTGGTAGTCGTGGCAGTGGCTGAAAAATTAAAACCAGACATTGCAGGTTTGGTAGTTGTAAATAGACTCCCACTACTGGTAGCGGTTTTTGCTACATCAAAACCAGTCAAGTTTGTGCTTGATGAAGGCTGGCTTGTTGAAGAAAAATTGAAGCTCGGTGTCGTCGTGACGGTGGGCTTATTCATCACTTGAAAAGCAAGAGGCGGTGCGCTTGAATTAACAGATGATGTCGATGCCGAGAAATTGAAGGCGGCAGAAGGGGTTGTCACCGACGTTGTCGTAGCCCCGAGGGCATTGGATTCAGACTTGGAGGAAGCAGTAAAATTGAAAATTGGTGTAGTGGTTGAGGCGACGGCCAGAGAAGGTGCTGCAGTAGTGACTGTGCCCTCGGTCTTGGCTGTTTCTGAAGAGGCTGTTTTCATAAGCGAAAAGGTGAAGGCGGGAGCAGCAGTAGTCTGGACAACTGAAATGGACGACTGAGTGGATGCAGTCGGGGTATTGGTAGAAGAAAACACGAAACCACCTGTGGTGCTTAAAGATGAAACAGCATTTCCAGAAACAGACTGTTTAGGCGTGGAAGAAGACACGACAGGAGGCGTGAGGTTGGAAGTCGAGGCAGTGACACTAGGAGTGGCAACGGGTTTGCCAAATAAGAAAGGGGAACTGAAAGAGGTGGTCGTGGCGGAAAAACCGGATCCAGAAGACGTCTGCTCTGAGGTAGACTTTTTTTCCAACGAGAAAACGAACTTTGGTTCGACTGAAGTTGACATGGTCGTGACGACAACTGCTGCAGAGGATTCTGTAGACTTTTTGGGCTTTTCGGCCACGAAACTAAGCGAATCAGAGGTTGTGACCGGTTTTGGTCCTGATTTTGGCAGCTTCTCTTCAGAAGAAGTGAATGAAGGTGTGGAGGAGATTGATGTGGTCACTGTGGCTATGGTAGAAGGCAAAATACTAGGAGCAGAAGAAAGTGGAGCGGATTCAGAAATCTTCGGCAACGAGATAGTTGAAGTCGAAGTAAAAGGCAGAGAAACTGGAGACGACGCAGCTGGCGTAGTAATTGACTGGCTTGGTGAAGTCGCGCCAGGAACTAAAATATAAAATGATACATGACAGATTTTAGGAAGAGCACACAAGAAAATTCGTGATGTACAAGTTTTAGGTCACTTTACAGGATAAACCAGTTACTACTTGCATAGCGTTAGCGCCGCATAAAAACCATACAGTTGCAAATTTTTCTTCAGTTATTAATCACATCAAAGTATACATAGAGATACTTAATCGACCTAAATTTGATATTCCCTGTGCTATACAAAAACCTTAGCTGACCTATTTTAGTCCCAGTGGTTGGAGTGCTTGCCGGTTCCTCCATCAGCGACGATGCCTTCTCGGCAAGATCTGAAAAGAGCCGTCGGATATTCGCATGTCGGCTCTCTAGCGAATTTGACTGAGCCAGAACTAAGGCGGGTGCGGTCGTGCGCCTGATCAATGCGTTTGCTCTAGCCCTCGCCTCTAACCCTGCAATGAACCGTGAAACTGAGCTCGTTTTCAGCACGCGCGGAGGCTGTTTTGGAGTGGGACGTGGCGGAGGCGGCGAAGGTGATGTGGTTCGGTCAACCGTCGTCTGAGTCTCACAGTCCCGAGTATCCCGTCGCTTTGCAGCCGGTGGCATCGGTGATGAGAAGTAGTCGTCGAGGCTTGAAATGGAGGCTGCTACCTCACGGTGATCTTCAGTTCTAGGCCGCTTCCCACCAAACGCGAGTGCTTCCAACGTAGCAGAAGAGAGCCGAGACACATGATCAGGAAGCTTTGCAGAACTTGGTCGAGTCGAAGTGGTCACAGGCTTCAATGTTGGTCTAACAGCTTCCTCCTGCTGTGGCGTTGCTTCCGGCTTAGGCGACACGGGTTCACAATCATTCTGGTCAGAGCGTTTATGGCGCTTTATTTGGTCGTGGTTTGCTTCCTGACTGTCGTCTGTTTCTGAATCCCCGGAGCGCTTCTTTCTTTTAGATTCGAGAATCCAGAGGGCGCGTTCCATCATGGAAGTTGAGGAATGCGCAAGAAATTCGACAGGATGCCTGGGTCGTGAAGGGCCAGGCTGATGTGGTTTAAATTGTCTCCGAATGGGGGATTGAAAATTGAGCAGAGAAGGCGGGAGATCTTGACGCATTGCGACACCTCGACGAAGAGAAACCTGGGGAGAAATCGGACTTGCAGGGACTGTAGGTCGCGAAATCGGTGATGAAAACAGTCGAGAGAAATAAAATGGACTGTTTCCAATCCCATCATAGCCATTATTTGGAGATCTTCCACTGATGCTATCGTTTTTGCTTCCAGGAGTTGAGGTTTCACTCCGAGAAAATTGATGCATTTCACAGTCTAGGGATAAATTGGTCGTAAATCGCAAAGAAAAGCATCCAGATTTCGTTCATCTCCAACCATAACTGAACAAAATCAACTAAAACTCGAGAATGTATTACAAATCAAACGAGATGGGAATGGCATAAAAATGCTCATTTTTGAATATGCATAAATATGCAGAACAAAGTTTGCGTCTAAATAATTATCCAATAATTTGAGGAAACATATTCGCAGTGAGCAGACGACAGAAAATATATGGCATACTATTCCTCGTGAATTCGGTAATAGTGACACGTGACAGAAATTTGACAAAGGTGGCGAAAATTACGGTTCAGGAAATCGTTTTTATGTGTATAAGTATGAGGCGAAACCAGAATGCAGGACTGCTAAATAAGCATTGTAGTGGATAGGTAAATGCGTTGCCCCAATTCAGTCAAAAGCACGACAATCATAATGCGCATTTGAGGAAATATGTGCTGATAGCGAATGAGGATACAAACAATAAAAAAAGATATGTGAAGCGTGGTTTTGAGTATCAACGCATTACCGCGTGAAAACTCCAAGTATTAACGTAAACTAAAAATATAAAGGATAATAAATTAAAGGTTTCCCTGAATTCTTCGACAACAAAATTCGTGGGTTTGTTTCTCGAAAGAGAACAAATGGCATATGGAATATTCATTAAAAAAGGAGTGAAAATTGTGAACAGAGAAAAAACAAGGCATTAAATAGATGTTAAATGCGTATGAAATTATAAAGCCAAAGGAGAGCTGTATGGATACACGGACATTGTTTAAATATTGAAAGATTTACTCACAATTATAGCACAGCACACGACGCCCGTGTTATGTACACGGAAAACATTAACAGTACTTTCATGGTTGGTTTATTTTCCAGCACAAGTAGTAGCATTATTTTATACCAAGATTTCGACAGTTATTGCAACATTAGTATGTAAAGGATTTAATATGCAAAATACATAACCAAAATCTATGTTTAGTTTCTTATTTAGTTATATTAACCTGACATTTGATCAGTTAGCCTTTTTGGTCTCGAAAATTTCAATAATTGGAATAATAAGAAAATTTGAACATATTTATCAAAATTATTTTTGTCGGTTTTTGAGATAATTATTGCAGATGTTATTACGCTTCCCTAGCGGCAAAAAAAATTAAAAAAAAAGGTGATTCTTTGCATAGATGTTTAGTTTACATTAGGAAATTATATGTCATAAAAATATTGAATATTCAATCATGATTCTGATTTAGTTCCGAAAATTTAAGCTGCATTGAATGTAAAATAATTTGGATGATTTTGGCTTAAATAGGTTTTTGCTGTATGATGTTTTATGTCTATGTTGTTGAGATTTCCTTTATGCAGACATGATTAAACTTATAAATTCAATTTTTAAAATTGTAATGCATTTTTAAAGTTTACGGTAAACCAATTAAAGTAGACTTTAAAATAGTGCTTAACTAATTGTGCATCTTTAGCACTAACATCGCAGCGAATTATTTAGTTTGCTAAAATTCATGTACTTTCTCTCCGGTTTTATTCATAAACCTCTTAGGCAATTGTTGCGAATTTATTATTCGTAAAGCAAAAGCACTGGCTTTTTAAAAAAAGGAATATCCATAAATCATAAAGAAAGCATTAAATTGTCAATCCTGCATGTAATACGATTTTCTTCCATCGACAGTTGCTTCAAGTAAAATAAAATTTCTAAAGCCGTGAGTCCTTAAGGGATTACAGGACATTAAAAACCAGAAGACATTAGAGCCGATTATTGGTTTCATTGAAATTTGGTCGTCAATGCCTACGGATTTTTAGAGCAAGTAATATTACATATCTATTTCTTGGTATTTATAAGTCAAGCAAAATTGTCATTCCTAGCTTAACCTGCTTACCGACGGTAGGGGCTTTTAGCTACTTGATTTTTATTTTCTCTTTCTTTGAAATCCAGTTATCGCATCCTCGATGCTGGAAACCTATAAGGTGTCAGGAGATTTGAATGAATTTCGCGTTATACCGGTGCTTGAATGAAGACTCTTTAAATAACTGTTTGTGTTTCGAAATGTGCTGTAAATTATGTTTAGCATGTTTTTTTATTTTTAAGCTGTGAATTTCGAATTTTTGTGGCAGTATTTTTCCAACTAACGCAACATAGTGACAAATAGTTCACGTAACTTTAACCTGCGCTGTTCTTAACTAAGAAGCATGGTTTCCTTGCCAGATAATCCAGATTTAATTATTGGGCAAAGTGAATGAGTCTTTTTTTACATTTGCAGCTAAGTGTTTATACAAAATACAACTAATTCGATTGAGTTTTGTCCAAATTTCCAAAAAAAATATGTCAGAACACAAAGTGACGTTTTAGCACTTTGTGATTCTCTGTGGTGCTGACTTGTCGCTTTGTGTAAAATTGAGACTATCATGGGACTGTGCTTTAATGTAAAATTTTAAGTTATTAATGTTTCATTTTTGTGCGGTGCTTTGTATGCCATGAAAATAACACGTTAATTTTTTTTAGCTTTCCTTAATTTAAACCCGTTCTTTTGCTCCGGCTAAAAATAACTTTTGCAGGAAATTGACTAGTGTAGACAGATTTAGTTGCAACTCGACGAGGCAGGAATAAAAAATTAACGGCTACAAAGCTTATCGGCAAAAAAGTTTATAGAGATATTTAACCTTAGAAGTAAGTACTCAGATTTTATCAGAAAACAATTAATTTCAAGACCAAATCAGTCTTATCCGACTGACAATGGTTCTTGTAAATGCTACTTCTTTGCTGAAAAATTATTACTTTCATGTAAGGTTTGTTAACAAGCAGAGCCACTTCAGTTATTTTGCTCCTAATTCTCGCAACCTAACTGTAGAGCAAAGGGAGGCACAAAAATTATAACGCAGTAGATATCAAAGTCACCTATTTACATTAACATTGGTTTGTTTCAAACATCAAAACCTGCAATGTCATTTTCCGTCATATTATGAAGTGCAAAATTTCTGCTGGGGTCGCCAATTGTTTCGGGCTTAGTATGTAGTCTTGAACCACGCCGGGGCCACTTCTGGTGTCCGAAACATCGACTTTCTTTGTTCTGGCGTTTGGCGACCTATTAGTATGATTCCATTTCATCGCTCAGCGAGGATTAGTTTCTGGCCACAACCCTTCCGGACGACGACTTCTCGGTGATGCCCTTCGACGCCATCACATCCCGCTGACTACCAATCGTTCTGCGAAAATCTTTCCACTTTTATTAGCATAACTCTCTCTCCATTCACGAACTCTCCTCATCATTTGTGTCTCTTTTTTAATTTCAGTTTTCACAAGCCTTGACTTCTAATGCTAGTTTAGTAAAAATTTTCGATCAATTCTGCCCCTTGCTTCTCAACTCTCAACCAGATCGAAAGGCCTCAACGATCTTACGCTCTGGCATCATGCACAACTTCTCCAAAGTTCAATCCTTTAAAGGTCCTGATGGTGAAAAACGGTCGTATCGGCAACAGCGACTCATCTTGAACGGCTTCTGACAACGAACAATGATGCCACCGACAACCCGCCTCATTTCTACATTTACTTAGTCCACATTTAGATTGCAGAAACCTACGGCGTACTTTTCAGAATTCCCATTGGAAGAAAATGTTCGCTGATTTTTTTGCTAACGGAGATAGCATTCACAGTACGACCCACATTAACGCGCGAAATCTACGGCCTGCCTTCCAGAAACCCCATTGGTTGAATAGGGAGAGAGTTGTTCTGAAACGCGTTTATTCACACCCGTTGATCCGGTCACTCCAGCTTCCGACACCGGGTCCCCCTTTTCGCAGCATGTCGCGAGCCGCGCGGATCCTCAACTCCCCCCTCGTTAGCACGAACGATTTACCTCACACCTGGATCCCGATGTTAGACCATCTATGACTCGCACATCCAAACTGTAAATGCACGCGCAAACGCCACCCAGGATAGACACGACGACGATCGGGTCAGGTTCTCGAATAAACGGTTGACTCCCTGTCACTCCGCAGACTTCAACCTTGTTGGCTAGTTAGTGGTATATGGCGCCGCAACAAGTCTATTTCACTTTTCTGGTTGTTCCAAGAGAACCTAAGGCCTGCTCAGTCTATGTCGAAGCTATGACAACGAGATTGATTGACTTAATATAATGGCTAAACAGCTGCAAAAAATGTAATGTGGGCGCAGGGTCTTTCTGAAACGCCAACTAATGCAATTTTTTCACTTGGCTATGCTCCTTCGGACACGACACAAATCTGCATAATTGCGGCTTTTATAGCGCACTTCCTTCTGACGTGAATGCCAGCATCCAGGAGGAACCTCTTAGGAAGATCCGACAACGCATCACGTGGCTCAGTACATCAGCGAATTTGACTGGTGTTATTTAACAATGATACTAATAAACCGATTGGTTGAAATAAAGTAATGATTTGAGGGATCTTTGAGTTCTACTATTGCTAGATGCAATGCCGTACTATGGAGCAGGCATATTGGATCACTCTAAGCTATTCAAATGCTGCCTTTATGCGTTTGAACGGCCAACATTGAATAGCAGTTGCCAACTGGGGACAAGGATGAATTGGGTGGACCATATAATGAGCGGCTCAGCCAGAAGAGTGGACTCCGATGGACAGCGCATACCGTGTATACTGGCCTCTGGCTGACCAACAAGGTACACCATGGTTCGGGTATTCTACATAAAATTCTTATTAAATAACGAAGCTAACAAGTAGACCAATTGAACTAAACTAATTATGCAATAATTTGAAGAAACTTTGGTTTAACGAAGCGAAGATGACTTTATTTAAGCCCTCAAGTTGCATCTGGCTACGGGCATGGCGATGCAAGATCGCTTCGTGGTTCTGTGTCCGATTATAACTCCGCGCGCCAACGACACCAGACATTCTTTCCCTGACTAAATAGGGTCAAACGTCTCAGTTTAAAATCAAAAGCTACATCTTGGGTTAACAGCTGCGATCCTGCACTTGCATCCAATTTAATAAGTTCAAATTTATTTTCCATCCTTTTGAGCACAAGTGGTTCCAGGCCGATCAAAAACAACCTGCACAATTTTGGGTTCCAATGGCTTTCAATGTGGTCTAGTGTTTCTTTGGGTGACTATAAAAGTTCTTTTGCAATTTCCATTATCCAAATGTGCATTAAATTAAAACAAATGTAGAAGTAGTTTATTTCCACGCTCACAGGGTTAATAATAAGAATGGAATTTGGCAAGCTACACTTTTGCAATGTCTTGCAATTGGCACTAAAGAATTGTGCGCTGGGACTGCAACATGAATGATTCAGGGCGTTTTCGTGGATCTCTCTCTCCATCTCTTAAAACAGTTATACATTTCTTAGTTGAATCCTACTTAGTGACGTCAATTTAAACCGTAATCATCCGTGATTTAGTGCACTGAGGAGAGAATAAATGTTGACATCGAATGGATCCAGGTTTCGATATTCGATACGTGAGTTCCTCACGACTTCCCAGTACTGAACAAAGCGAACCTTGTTCCCCCCTAGGAGGAGACGGAGCAGCCGCTTTCTGAGATATGCATACTTTCGTATTCGTAGCCGTGTAGATAATAGAACAGTATCTACGGGAAAGGATGAACCATCGCACCTAATTGGAGTGCTGTTATGTGCTTGATGGGATTTAATAGCAGTAGCTTCTGACAAACTTCATTAATTTTGCAAAACATCAGTGGAAGAGAAGTTTTGAGAACAATTTACCCAATTCAACGCTGAAATCCCAGCGGAATATATCGTTTTTCCCAGCCTTGGTTTCAAATTTTCATCTTTGTTTTCCTTTGTTAAACAAACTGAATGCCAAAAAATTGACCATATGGAAGAAGTCGAACGCGAAGTAACTGCTCATAATCCACTCCATTTCGATGATTTATATCACGTTGTGATGGCAGGCAGAAAAGATAGAACGAATTTTTGATTAATAACTATTATTTTTCATGAAAATATTTCTCATTCAATTTGTCTTGAAATCGCACATGAAATTCTGCAGCAATCCAGAATTTCCTTTTTGAAAAATTAGCAGCAATCTGTAAGGGCTGTGACACGGAATAACCTGAGTTGTTGCCCATTTCTCGCAATGGCAGGCTAAGGGTAGTTACGTAGGGTTAATTATTACAACAAATGGGTCTTCCTCATTTATCATACGCGCTTCGAGTTTACGTAGGTTCATAAAACAGAACTCCTAAGTCGGACCTAGCTATGAGAGCGTCCATGGGACGCGCAAATGAGCGCACGCTTTTCACAGTAGGCTGGCCTCAGATGTGCGTCCGCCTAACCATGCCGCTGCAACCAAGCTACTGTGGAAAGCCAATCAAAATCGAGCTGAGGCCAAGCCCCAGTTAGTGTTGTCTATCGGAAAATTTGAATCGTAGCACATCTGACCACTCGCCGCATTTCCTTCCCTTGGAACCATGAGTGACGGAACCAGGAAAGCTGTTGTCAAAAATGTTGACATGTCAGAAGAAATGCAACAAGATGCCATTGATGTGGCAACTCACGCCTTCGAGAAATTTAACATTGAAAAGGACATTGCTGCGTACATAAAAAAAGAGGTATGTCCATAAAGGGTGTTTTAACGCGAATCTTCCTTCAGTTTGATAAACGTCATAGCCCAACGTGGCACTGTGTTGTTGGCAGAAATTTTGGAAGTTATGTGACCCACGAAACCAAGCATTTTATTTACTTCTATGCTGGCCAGGTAGCAATCCTACTATTCAAGTCTGGATAAATAAATGTTTAATCGTCAGGGTTGAGATGGTTCTCACGTTATCTTTTCATTCGTTACTATACAAAATAAAACCTCCGTCAGGAACTGACATTTTTTTCTCTATTTCCTGTCGGGTTAGTTAATTTGAACCACTTAACTCAAATTGGGCGAAAATATGGGCTACATTTATATCGAGGCAATTTTACCTCTTCACTGGTGTCATTTGCCTGCGATTTCATATTTTACAGTGAGCAATGTGGGGGGGGGGCTATAATCAAGCGCTTTTGAATGAAAACACTCAATATTTCGGTAATTTCAATAACATCGATCGAATTGTTTAAAATAATGTGACTCAGTTAATTTAGTTGAGTTGACATCTTAAATCAGGTTGGTAAAACCATCAAAGTCTTAAGTGAAGAACGCACATCACACCTGTAATTTCTGCTCCAGGAGTAGTTCTACGCAAGAACTACACGGTCTTGCGTAGAACCGGCCGGTATCTTTTTACAGACAAGTTCAGTCTCCCCTAAGATCACCGATTATCGCCATGCCATCCACCGAATTCGACTACGCCACCACGAGGCGCTTCAGTAACGGCCTAAATTTTCAATTACTTCCCAGTTCTATCACGCCTATCGACCATGGACAGCGCAGAGCCTTTTTGAAACAAAGCCTCCAGCAAATGTACGAATTCTCGGCCATCTGCTTGTCCCCGGTTTCTCCACACAATGCTTGTTTTTAAATTGGAGCTAACAGGTTAAATTGTGTATAGCTCTCTTGCAGTCGTGTTTAATGGCTACTAGCTCTCACTTCCCACGAAACGGAGTCAGCGAAACTGAGCAAATGAATTTGAAAAGCCAGATCAAGTAATGATCCGTCGACAGGTATTAATTGTTTGGGTAGCTCCAGTTGCTGAGCCAAACGCCTTCGGGAACAAAATCCTCCTGTTCTACTGTCGCGACTAATTATAGCTGTTAAAATAGTATATGACGCGATGCTGGACGAAAAGCTCAATTCGAGTGGAAAATATCTCTGAAAATGTAAATTACGAGGCATGCTGATGTGCTGAACTTGAACGATGAAACTACTATTGGTTGAAGTGATTTGCAAATTGTCAAAAAATTTTTGCGAAAACCGCTTTCCAGAAAACTGGAATTCGATAAATTGGACAAATTTTTATACTAATTAATCTGAACTAAAATATACCGTGCTGAGGTTTAAAAGTCACAGCAAAATGACTGCAACTTCAAGTATTTTACAGGGCTTAAGTTCGTTTTAATAAACTGATTTCGACCTATCGTGCGATGTAATAGTAGCTTCAACCGAAGATGCTGTTTCAAAGGGCTTTGACTGACGTAGATCACATTGTAGTATCTGTAAGTTTAAAAAATTAACATCAATCAGGGAGCACAAGCTGTTCCAAGCGTCTGTGGACCCCCGACTCCCCGTAGAAAATGCAAACGCCCTCTCCTCAGACTGCAGCTACATACGTAAATTCAGCTTGACGATTCTATCGATTTTTTTCAGCTGCCACAAACAAAGTATGATTCGCTCATGTGAAAAGTGCAATTTGTATGCTTGCATGATAATAGGGTTCAAGTGAATATTTCAAAATCGCACATGGGAATAAGGAATAACTGAGAATCAATGTTAACCGTGGTGAATTTATTATTGCATTGTCCTCTTAGGAACAATTCTCCTTCAAAGTAATTATTCTGATGTAATATTGCTTTTCAACAAGATGTAGGAAGAGGTAGTCACGAGATTACTTCCACGATATAGCGGATAATTGACTTATACCAACATTTGGCAACTTCCCTCCCATGTTCGTTTTCTGACGCGCTCTAACCAACACTGTTAAGGTTGTAAGTCTACAGGTCCTCGGGATTCAGGCATGCAAGTCATACACACGCCCCGTGTCAAAACTACGGTTCTAAACCTACTTGGTACCATAACCAACAAGTTTCTTTGATTGAAGACATTTTTGAATATCATGTTAGTTTAACGGAATTGCGCCATCCACAAAATTTCCGGCTGAAAAAATACCAACGAAACCATGATTTTGCTTAAATCTACTCTCTTACACGGTTTTTTTCAATGCATTACAGTCAAGGTCTTGCAAAAGCCCACACCTGTGGAGATTTAATTGAGTTTCACCATAAAATGCTTGTGAATGGCTACCGCAAGCAAAAGCAAGCTTGATTCACACGTAGGTAATGGTCGGGTACAAAAGTTAATAAACTGAAAAACTGGCTTTTGAATTCCAAAATCCCACTGTATTGTAGCTTATTTCGAATCCCAAAAATTAATAATCAATGAAAAAAATCATTTGAGGATCGCGCAATTTCATCGGCTCGATACTTCTACCAAACACGCGACACAACTCCGAAGTGTATCAAAATGGTTTAGATTTTGTCATTCTTATTCATGGAAAAGCCAGTGGAAATGCATGTCATCATAATATCTAAACATTGAAGTAATCATGCAATGCTACTTTTCGGCATTTCAAATTCTGATTTTGACATCAAAATAATCAAATTGACGAATTGGAATTCAAAGGGCGTCCGACTAATGTATCTAGGCTCTGCTAATTATTTAAGTTCAAAATTCGGCACACATTTAAAACGTCATATGAGAATAAAATTAAGCAGTTCAAGGTCAAACGTTTAAACTAGCCGGCTTCCCCAGTTTGAGAAATAGGGGTTTATTCCATCTGCTGAAATTCAAATTTCCTGTCAATTTTATTAGAAAGTCGTGACAGTCGAACTTTTATTTGCTAGTTCATTATTCGATAAAAATTCTGCCGCTCACAAAAGTCCAGAAGATTAGCAACCCTAACGTGGTCAAAGTCAGACATCCACAATTGCATTAAGCTTATCATATTTTGTTCAAATTTCATTTTACACTTTGTACAGTCACCAAATAGTTACAAGCTTAAGCTATGGAAAATACAAAGGCAAAAATGGACCTGCGTAATAATGCTGGATTTGCTGATGTCGGGATGTTGAATTTTAAGTACAAATAATTTATAAATTTGAAGTTCACTTTCTGATAATATATATTTATGAATATGGCTGACGATTAATTTCAAAAAGCGGGTATGCTGTACGAAAATTATAATTATGAAATTATCTGCCCTTTGACTGGATGAGCATAATAGAAACAGCTAATTTACAACCGGACATA